CACGCACACACACACACACACACACACACACACACACACACACACACACACACACACACACACACAGAGTAGTTTCAGCCACTTCAGGTTGTTTCACCGGTTTCATGATGATTGATGCTTGGGTGGGGGCGACTAGAACCGATTTCTGAAGCTTTAGCGACTTCAAGTCATTTCAGCCATTTCAGATCGATGTTTGATGCTTAGATGGCATTTTTAAAAAATCAAAGAAGTACAAAATTTCTTAAGAGCTAGGAAGATTTTCATGCCCAGCCGTGCACCCGGGCATGAAGCCCAGGGTACCCGGGCATGCAAAAATAAATAAATAATAATAATAATATTATATATATATTGTCACAAACAGAACTGCCCGGTATATATATATACGATATATATATTATATATATATTTGCCTTTCTGCGGTCTCCCAGAAGACCCCAAATCCGGGCTCTTTTCATTATTTGAGCCCAACTTCGTTACGTCGGCAGTGCGACTGCATCGAGTTGGCAGTGCAAACCCATGCAGTCAGCGGTACCGGTCCCAGTCAGTCACAGTCCAGTCAAGCAAGTACCATGTGGGACTGTGTGCACCCAGGGCATGGGAAAGGGGCAGACCAACGAGTTACAGAGGTATAAATCAAGAGGCAGCGCCCAGCCATTCATTCATTCCTGCGTAAGCCATGCAGAACCTCTGCTTGAGCGACTTGTGCAAGGTGGTCTGCAGAGTGTCCGAAGACGAAGTGGGCTGAAGGAGATAGTTAGACATAGCTAGGAGGGGACAGCGGCCATAGCCGCCATAGCTGATAGGTGTGTGTGTGTGTACGAGAGTGTGTGTATGCGTGTGGGATATCCAGGGTGATCCAGAGTTGAGTGAGTGCGGACAGTGGTGCTGAACAGAGAGACGAGAGTTGGGATGTACAGGCGCTGATGCGCCATAGCCTGTTGAAGCGAGATTGTATCCGAACTGTATTTTCGACTTCCATATCTCTGAGCTTTGAGTGGGCACTGTGCGCCAGTGTGACTTCCCATCTGCTTGCATGAGTGCAGAGTGGAAAAGAAAGCGAGTCTGATTGCAGGGTTAAAGGGGGGTGCCTTAGTGTGATTTTGTTATTTTCTTTTGTATCTCCAATTCGGTGAGGAATTCGGATGTGACCCTCAGCCAAAAGTTGTTTGTATTGCAATTCTACACAACATTTAAAAAAAAAAAAAATCTGGAATTTTTTGAGTTTCGTTTTTTTTTTTTTTTTTTTTTGCGCTGGGGCTGCCCGGGACCCTGCCCGGGGGTCATGCCCGGCCAGGCACCCGGGTGTGTATCCGGGCACGTTGGGTGCCCCGGTGCTCGGAAAAACAGCCTAGCTTAAGAGAGAAAAAAAACTTGCAAAAAAACTAAAACCCAGGTTTCAGAGAACCCTCATCTCTGAAAATCCCACATTCAGATATGAAAATCACCTGGAAAAGAAAACACACTATTTCAGATCCGAAATGCACTTCACTTATTTCAGATCTGAAAATTTGAGGACTCGTTGACCACTAGTGGAGGGTAGCGTTTCACTTGGCTGCTTGAACCAGAAGCGAGGTCCAACCTGCACAATATAAGAGAGGCACCGGGTAGACGTCAAAGATTGACAGCAGGGATTACTTCATTCTCAGAAGTAGGACCTCGGCCAGGATCGCAAGTATCATCCATCTCACATTGACTGGGCACAACATACCATCTCCAGTCTCGAATAGAGCTCGCCGCTCGTGGTTCATGAGGGCAAATCGAGTTGTGCCTTGCTTCGAGAAGTACCTAATCTATGTTTTCGTCAGGTTCATGCCTCCCAAGCTTGTTTCGTTTCTATTTGAACGCGGTTCCCCACTCGGATGGTTTCATGGTTTTCGATTCCGCCAAGGTGAGTGGCACATTCAAAAAAGGTGAGTACAACGGCTAGCTGCCTTTGGTATGCTCCTTTTCCTCTTCCTCCTATTACCGGACTTCGGGAATGCCTCCGGATATTGATGTCGTGATTCTGAACCACCTCTTGACCTCGTTGTCGCGATCTGGATCTTGATGTCCTGTTGTGAACGGCCTCTTGACCTCGTCATCACGATGTGAATCTTGATCTCATGACTGCAATCCCGATCTTCTTCTCCAGACTAAGATCAGGATCTTTGTC